TTGTTTAAAAACGGTTTTTTGGGGGAGGAACGCAACCAGGCTAAATAGAACCGCTGAAAATGATACATTAAAACCACTAAAAATCAACACCATAGTTACTTAGGGATAATGTCTATGACACTAGGATGTGCAATCAATTCAGCTGAAAACATATTTATGAGGCGTATATTCCGCCAATATAGTTAGGTGATACTTACCTTTACCCTATATCCATCTGCTGCTGTTAGTGCTATAAATCTCATTACATGATTACATCCGTCTTTATCACAAGTGATTTGGTCAATATATCCTAACACATTAGCATTTGACATTTTTGAATGCATTTTAAACTTTAAAAAAAAAAATCATTTTTTAGCGTGCAGACCCTGCTATTTGAAACAAATTCCGCAGCCCAAAAAAAGGTAAGTTTAAGAGCGAAGCTTAAGATCATGGGAAAAGATGCCATATGGCATTATTAATGATATTTTTCTTCTCGCAAAAATAAATAAGTAAATATATACTTGTAATAAATTAGCATATATGCAAAGTATTCGACTAAGGTTGATCAATTTAATTAAACTACTTAATTAAACAAAAAGAAAAGAGTTTTGAGAAAAAGTTCAAGTGATAATACCGCAAATTTGGCACCAAGGAAAATTATAATTACGATTTTATCAGCAAGCTCCTTGAATCTGCTATTGTAAAGTCAAAATACCTGTATTAACCTTTAACACAATTACTTGGTACAAAATACAATGAATGTAACTCTCTCTCTCTCTCTACTTCTTTCTACATTTCTTGCTCATAGGGACCTTGGGAAAGTTTGTGTTCTTTCCAAAAAGAAAAAAAGGAAACAAAATATAAATATGCGAAAGGAGAAGAGCTTCCTAAATCACCAGAACTGTATAGTTTTCCCAATTAAACTCAATAGTTGGTGAACCAATCTGTACAGCGTTTCACCCGTTTCTACTACCATTGTGACTGTACCAGCCAAGAGAGAATTGCCATATTTATACCTACAACTAAAGAAAAGCCTAACATTGATGTTTCAAAGCTGCAGGACTAAGTCTAGTTGCGGTGGAGAACCAATGGGTAAATTTGTACTTTTCGAACCAGATGCCTGGAATCCCTTATTGAGCTCCACTGGATATGGGCGATCCCAACTTTCTTGTATGGATAGGTTCTGCCAATATGGCATCCCATGGGTGACCATATCATTTTCGGAGTAGATCACACCATTGAAGCTTCTAGAGGTATCAAATGAGCTTGAATCCAAAGCATGAGGATTAAAGAATGATGACGAAGTTTGCCTGCCTATTGCTTCCTGAAAATGAGAACCTGGAGCAAAACTGCCACTAAAACCATTCATGCGTGGATGAACAGAACCTTGATGTTGAACCTGCAACGAATGGCCTGGTCCCACCACCCCATTACCACCTTTCAGTGAAGACCATTCAACATTGGAACTTAATTCTCGAGAATCCATTGGTTTTTCAGGGCAAGATGTAGTGGGTTTACCAGCCAAATTAGAATTTCTAAAGCCTGATGTTGACAGATGGTGTGATTCACTATTGAAGGAATCTTGTGACTGTAACGAGTTCTCTGGCAAACAAGGGAGTTGCGCTGATGACACCTTGGTTTCGCCAACCCATCCAGGACCAAACTCTACACCTGGTGGCAGAACACTTCTAATCTTTTTCGAGGCAACCTTCCAAACGTCAGGCCCAAGTTTCGCAGCAAATTGAGCAAGGCTTCTTGCATAGCTATTAGGATCTGAGGCAAGAGCTACCTGCTTGAGTTTTCACAAGGAAGCATATTAGCCAAAAAGGTACTTAAACCAGGGAAAGTCAATATAACAAGAAACAGTGTCTAAGATGATCTAAAATACACATACTGGAATTAATTGCCTCTCAAGGCCTCCAAAAGCAGCCATTTGTTGATCCTGGCCAGAATCAGGCTCACCAGAAAAGTAGTAAGTGTCACGCCTACTTTCTTCTGAACCAAATGACTTTTTTCCATACCTGGCTGACATTGATTTAGAAGAAGATCCTGATGGCCAGTTGACAAGAGAATCAGACATCAGTAATCTTTAAGATGACGAAAAAAAAGGTGTGAAAGAAGCTGTTTAACATAATAAACAAGAAACAGAATAAATAATGAATATGAAGCAGCAAAAACACACTTCATTGGATTACCTGAAAAATCAAAACAATTTTCAAGATAGCGAGGGAAACGGTATAAACTAGGTCCTTTCCTCAGATTGTAAGAGCCTGATCTCCCCACGTCCTCCTCCTGAGAAGCAGGAGTGGCTACTCGAGAAGCAGGTGTGGCACCTCGAGAAGCAGGTGTGGCACCACGAGAAGCAGGTGTGACATCTCGAGAAGCAGGAGTGGCATCTGATGATGACTCACGAACATTGCGATCTGGGGGTGAGCTTTGAAGGAGCTTCTTCAAATTTCTACTACCTGGTGGTCTACCTCTCCTGGGTTTGGCAGGTAGCTCAATAACACCACCATCTTGTTTCAATGTTTCAAATTCCTTCTTTGCTAGTTCTTGGATAGCTCGGGCCTGAGACAAACACCCAGCTTTAAACTAATGGACAAGATGACCCAAAGAAACTCGGAAATTCGGAATGATGAGAGCTCTTACCTGTCGATGGAATACCGTTGAAGGTGAATTGTACTTCATTGCATTCGAACATATTAAATTTATGTCGTCCTGTAAAGAAATTCAAGAGCTTAGTAACCACTAACCAGTGGCTGGCAATAAATCCTTGAATACAAATCAATGCAGCCACAATCAATAGAATAAAAATAAATAAATAAAGCAATATTTTCTTACTCTATCAGACTATTATAAATCAGGCAAACACAGCGTATATCATGCCAAATCATGAGCATCAAACTCAGCAAGGCACAAGGAACAGAGATTAACTCATCTAGAAGCTAGTATGATAAAACATCATGCCTCAGGTTGTGCATATGTAGTACAGAAAAAAGGATCCCTGCTCACCCTGCCCCCACTGAGATTTAACTTGAAAGAAGATAGAGCAAATTAAACTAAACGATACAGATGCCCTCCCCTGTAAAGCAACTACATATCAGGAGTCAGAAGGCAAGGATTGCAGTTTTAGCAGAAAGGGATTCAATTAGAATAACAGTGAACGATTAAGCAAGGGTCCAAAGTAGATTGGGCCTAAATGTGGGCTTCTTCTTCTATCCATAAGTAGATGTGAAAAGGTTGTCATACATTATAATCAACTTAAGGTGAACATCTCAGAACAACACTAAACACCAACTAATTGCAGCATATTCTTCCCATAAACAACAAATGCAAAAACAGATGTTCACTTTAATGCTTCCTTTTCTTCAATAAGACGGTGTTGAATTGTATGCCAATTAAAACCTCTAAATACAGTAAGAGTGAAGCATTTTCAAATTCCTTATCAGGAGACAGATAAACAATTCAGAAAGTCCAACCTGGCCAAAATAATATGCTGAAAATGAACCATCTAAGGCGAAGTTATTAGCTATGATAAGAAGAATTCTTGTAGTACAAAGTCTCAAAAGAACCTTAAAACCATTCAACTAACCTCAAGCTGCTGCAAAATCACATATAAGCCACCCAAGAGTTTCTTTCTCACTGTTTCAAAATCCATGGGATTCTCAATAATCTCATGGTAGTCTGGAAGCTGAAATTAAAACAACATTTTCACAATCAAAAAAAACGCATGACGACAACTAGTCGAATACACCAACATGAGAATAACTACGTCCTGATTAACATTACCTCCTCTGGATCAACTGGCTCTGCAAACACTCCTCGAGTATCCTTCCTACAATGAGCAGCAATCACAGAACATCCCATAGTCAATAACAATCATCCAACAATAAAGAAACTTAAATGTATAAAAAATACAGTACTCCATTAATAAATAAATGAAATGAAAAAAAAAATTAAAAAACCCACTTTTGGAGTTTATCAAGAATGAGGAGCAGCAACTTTTTATCAGGCAAAGGTGTACTTGTTGAAGTAGCTGTAGCAGTAGCAGAAGTTGAAGGTGTGGGGCCATTTTCCAAAGCACCACCTACCATCCTCCTTGTCCCTGTCCTCTCACACAAGATTCAATTTACCCATTTTAGTATTCTCAATTATATTTTCACTAAATTCTTTCAACTTTTTTTTTTATTAAAAATTAAAAAATTAAAGATTTTGAAAACCCCAAAAAAACCAAAAAGAAGAATGAAGAAGATTGAATAACCATTATCGTTGTCAGTCGCTTTCGAACGCTTTACGTCCTGCAAAGATTCATTCACTCAATTATTTATATATTCAATTATTTATATATTCAAATTTATATTTTCTACAACATCAAATTCAACAGTAAATAACAATAAAATCAAAAACAATCTTAAATTAACTGATTTCGAGTACGGAATATTCAATACTTCGAATTCTATAACACGACAAAATTCATACATTCCGAATAATTCGTTAAACGAAAAAAATAATTGCAGTAATAATAAAGTAAGAGAAAAAATAATGCTTTAAATGGAATGAAGGCGAACAAAATTCAATATTATCCGACAATTGCAGATAATATGGTGGGGCGACAAGAATAGAAAATTTAACAACACCACCACCAACATCAACACTCAGTCAAAGAAGAAAAAAAAGGGGAAAAAGCCCTCTTCTAGAATGTTCGAAAAAAGCGCGAAATCCGAGGAAATTATCTGGGGAAAGAAACAAAATTCGATTCCAGAAACGATATAAGTAGAAGTAGAACAAGTAGTAGGTGATTAATTAATTGATAGATTGATTAATTAAATAAATAAATTAGTTGATTAATTAATTAATTACCAAAACTAACTGGGTATTTAAGAAATTGCAAAATTCACCTGAGAAGCAACGGCATTGATGAATTTGTTGGAAGAAGAATTTGGGAATTGAACGACGAGTTTAACCTTTTTCTCAGCCCTTTCATCATCATCATCATCAACAACATCATCATCATCATTTTCATTATCATCATCATCATCATCATTTTGAACTAAATTATCGGAATCAATTGAATGATCGTCGGAATCAGAACCGTCGATAAAACGGGCGGGTAAATTAGGGATCCGGCGCGCAGATCGAGAACGACGATTAGGGTTTGATTGAGGAAAATGGGATTGGGAATTAGGGTTTTGTTGTTGTTGTTGAAGAAGAAGAGCACGATTTTGAAGATCTGCTAATGAAGGCCGACCTTTCTTCTTCTTTAAAGGAGCGCCGGTGTTGAGTGTTGCGACGGCGGTTGTGGCGGCGGCGGTTCGTCGCACCATTGTTGGTTGTGATTGTGTGGATGGGTTGGGATGCTTTTACCCACCTTCGTCTTTCTCTTTTCTTTTTTTTGTTTTCTCTCTTTCTTTCTCTCTCCTCTCTCTTCTTTCTCTAATTGTTTTACTATTTTTTTTTTTTTTTTTTTTTGTGAAATTTTTTTTAAAAAAAAATATAATTAAGTTTTCATTTGATTGGCATTTGGCATGTGTGTAGTGTAAGTGTAACTTCCTTGCTCTTGTATTAGGAAGTGAACTGGTATCTCCATTTTATGTCTCATCTCGTGTCTCAACTTTGTTGAAAGAATTAAGGGGGTTGAAAGTGTGACATTGTAATGAATTGAGTAGATGTTAAATTGTTGTGACCTGATTTAAAGTGAGTAGTGAAATGGTATCTCTATTTTATGTCTTATCTTGTGTCTTGGATTTATTATAGTATAGTTCTGAGGATTAAAATTGTTAACATTGTAAAGAATTTATTAGTTGAATTGTTGTCATCTGGTCTAGGGAAAGTAACGGCGTGGGTAGTATTTGCAACAGCTAACTGAACTTTTTTTTTTATTACAAGTGAATCCAAACGCTATCTATTGTTTCCATGCTACAGAGATATTGAGTGTTGGATTGCAAATGATCTTGGATTTGATTAATTAAATAGTTGAATCCATTCAGATATATGTGTTTTCATAAGATATTACTCGGTAATTAGACCTCTCAAATAAAATCTTTTATAAACCTTACATGATAATTAATACTATTAATCTTAGTGATTAAAGCAATTAGAATAACATTTAAATTGAAACCTTATCCACTACATTTTATACTTGGACATTTTTTTAATATGTTCAAACTAGAATTTGATTTTTATTTGAATTGGGAGATAGAGGAAAGAAAAAAAGAGTCATATATAGGCATATAATCAAGTTCTCATGACAATTAACAATTTGTTTTTTTAATTTTTATTTTTTTTGCATGTATTAACGCTTGTTTTCTTAAGGTTTCCTAGTTCATTCTAATTGCTTTATTATGTTTTAGGAGCATTAAACTTTACATGCATATATTTTACTTGTTTTGATTTTTTTTTTTTTTTTTACCCCATCTATATGTTATATGTAACCACAAGAAAGCATGGAATAAGAAATCAACACTATGCTCCTCAAGGTCACTTACAACCCACTATATATCCATCTAAGCACAACAAGAAAACACGCTTTTCTGACTATCTTTACCTTTCAATAAAAAAAATGTATCGATTCAAACATATTGACAATGATATATTATACTGTCAAAATTAATGACAGGCTTAGTTGATTTTTGTGCGCTACTTTTTTAAATATTAGTGGTTAAAGTACTTAAATAGGCTTACATCGACCATCCAATGGACCATGGACTAAATGGGCACCCTAAATCTAAATAAGTCGCGAAGGTTGATGGCTTCACTAAACCTTACCTTCCTGCCACATTACATTTTATACTTGGGACATTTGTGAATCAAGTTTAAACAAGAATTTGATTTTTATATTGGAAAGAGAGAGGATGCATGAAGAGAAAGAAGAGTCCTAGAAAAATGATTTTGGGTCGGTGGTCGTTCTTGCGAAATGAGACAATAAATAAGTGTCTTTTATTTTCATGCATTTAAGCCCACTCAATCTGTCTAAGCCCAAGTAAGTAAAGCCCAATCCAGGGAAAGCAACGAAAAAAGAACATTAAAACCAATACATCACTCCTACAATTTTACTCATTTGTTCCGCTTCCAACATATCCAATTAGGCTCATTTTGGATAAGTCATGTAGGTTTGGACATTCTAGATGCTTTTTAGGAGAATTCTTGCTTAAATTTCCCTTGTTATTTAATTTTTGGGGGGAAACTTCTCTTTTACTACGAAGAAACATTTAGATACAATTCAATGAAAAGAATTGGAGAGGTCACAATTTCCCTTGTATTGGTTATCTTTATTAATAATCAAAGTTACTCTTTATAGATAATCAATATATATAAATTAATAAAATTTGATATTATGAAACCACAAATCAATGCGAATTTAACAACACCTTACTTGACTACATTTTTTTTTTCTTTTAACAATAAATCATTAAAGCTAACCGAAGTAGTGTATGTGTATAGTCCATAAGTCAAAATGTTGCAAATAGTAAAACGGAAGAAGTATTTTGCAAGTCGAGTTCTTGCATCCAAGAAGAAATGAGGAATTCGATGGGTTTGATCTTGTTTATCATCCAAGGTACGTTTTAATCTCATCAGTCAGCTGCCTCATTCAAAATAGTGTAGTATAGCTCGAAAGGAGGTGCCTAAAGCTAAAGTAGAACTTAACGACTAAAGGTGTCCAAAAAAGTATAAAACAGTGAACATTCTAGGTTACAAAGAGCCTGGCCCATATTGTCCCATGATATTTTTTGCACTTTGGACTTGATGTGAACGAATGTGACTTAAGAAAGCCCTTAAAGCCAAACTCAATAGCATGGATATTAAGCCCAATTTTAACTCAGGCTTAGCCTAATTTTTGATCGGCTATAATTATATCTATATACTTCGTATGTCTGTACCTTCTATATTAATATAGAAAGAAAAGTTGGCTCTAAATAATCTCAACTATTGTTTTATGTTTGTGTGTGTAAAATAATACGGAGTACGACTTAAGTATGAGCTCTCAACATCACCACCTATTCAAGAATTCAACTATTTGTGCAAAATAATATGTTGGTGACCGAAATGGGGATCTTAGGGAATATTCTATTAAATTAATAATTTATATTAAAATAACGCCTCGATTTGCAACCAAGGAATGCCTAGGCTAGGATACATGGACACTTCATCCAACTGTCATGTCCGTGTCGGACACCGTGTTAGACACCGACACTCGTGGGACACACAACGATACGTCTCGGACCGTATCCTACTATGATATGGGTTGTTTATTTTTTTAATAAGAAAATTTAAGTAAAGTAAGAAAAATAAGGTAATTTTAAATAATATGGGTGCCTTCATATATAGCTCATTGTTAATATTATACAGTATAATCTAATGAAAGGATGAAATGACAATTATATGGTCAAAATCTTTGTTTTTTAAATATATCACACGAATTTTAATATCCCGTATCCGTTTTCCTTATTTTAAGATAGACGTTTTTTTCGTACTCGTTTCGTACCCGTATCCGTGTTAGTACCCGTTTTTGCACGGGATTTGTTAAACATCGCCCACAAATCTCTACATAAAGCCCACAATTATTTTTACTTTGACTTTTTTGCCCTTTTTCTAATTTTTACCGAAAACGTAATTATCTCTCACGAAAAATATGGAGCCGGAGTGGATCGCCGAGGGACACTGGAGAGCCGTCATCGTCGCCGGAAAGCGAGGTAATTTGGGAAAAAATTACGAAAAGCAAGGGTGGCGTCTGGCCGGGACGCCACCACCGTGGCGGTGGCGTCTGGCCGGGACGCCGCAACCATAGCGGTGGCATCTGGCCGGGACGGCACAACCGTGGCGGTGGCGCCTGGCCAAGACGCCGCCACCATGGTAGTGGCTTCCCGGCTAGGCGCCACCGCCACGGTGGAGGTGTCCCGGCCAGACGCCACTCCTACTTTACGTAATTTTTTTTTTTATATAATTTTATTTAAAGTTTTTGTTTTTTTTTTTTTTTTTTTTGGTTTTTTGAACTTTGATAAATTTGAATTTAAATATGTGTTAATAAGTTCAAAAAAGAAAAAAATTTTGTTGTAATTTGAAATTATGTTTTAAATATGTGTTAATAAAATTATGTTTAATTTTGTATGTGTAAATCAAATATGTGTTATAATTTCAAAAAAAAAATTATGTTTTAATTTTGTATGTGTATGAATACTTTTATACATAATTATGTGTTAATTTTGTGTTAATTATGTGTAAATTTAGAAATTAAATGTATTATGCGTTAAATATAGAAATGAAATTTACAAATAAAAAATTTAGAAATTATTTATGTGTTAATTTTGTGTTAAATGTATTAATTTAATCTTTATATAATTATATGTATTTAAAAATAATATGGCATTGTTGCAGGATTATGGTGGAGACGGAAATGATTATAGTGGGATTTTTGTACATGATGGTCCTTTCGAAGACGCTCAACAAACGATTGATTGGGCAAATCAGGTTGCAATTAGATCTGGTTTTTTGTTCAGTAGTAGCAAGTCATAAATCTCTTGAGGACTCTAGAAGGCGACATGGTATGATGTATTGAGTTCATAGCGCAAACCCAGCCGAGAAACGAAAAGGGATGATCTGAGTAATAAAACAAAACCAAATTAAATGAAATTCTGCAACATTTGAGATTGTCAATCAATTAAACTAAAACCCAAAATAATTGAAACGTAAATCAACTAAAACGCTTAATAAACCCCATGCACGCAACATGCCATACAGTTAAACCCTAAATTTAAATACAATGGCTTTCTACTACTACACAATAAATAAAAATTTGATGTAATTTCACAACAAATCAATAAAACCAAGTATATCTGAATGATATTCAAGCACAAAAGCAAGGAAATTGATTAGAAAAATAACGATATTACCATAAATTGAAGAAATTAACAAGTAGCGGAAGAAATTTAACACGACTTTGACCCAAATTCGATAAATTTCAGGCGGCTTCAAAATATAACTACGATCGTATAACAGTATAAGAATACAGGATCATGATGAACAATTAGTTTTCAAGTATGAATTTTTCAGATCTGAAAGCTAGAGAAAGAGAGGGTTTCTATTACGTGTGTGGGTAGCAAGGGCGGTTTCTGATTTTTTTTTTTATATTTTATGTTTTAAAATTTCATACACCGCTTTTTTTGAAGTCATGGGTCCCATCCTTGTGATGTAATCCTATGACCCCCCAATCATTCCTTTCCAGCGTTTCGACGTTTTTCCATGTCGAGAAACTATTTCGACTTTAAAAAGCGTCGATAAAAAGCGAAAATATATTTTTCCACTAACGCCTCATAGACAGCGTCAAGCCAACAACGTTTGGAAAGTAAGGGATTTGTAGTAATGATGTGTTGTATCGTGACCGGATACGTCAATGGAACAACCTAGCTGCCTTTTAGTTTTTCATGCGTATACCTTTTCTATGTAACCTTGTATTTGTATTGCTATTTTTATTCCAGTTATTTATTTTTTATATTCTAATTTTGACAAAATTTATATCTTGCATGCATACTAATTAGTATTTGCGCGTTACAAAATAAAAATATGATGTCAAATTTTAAAAACTTAAAATGAAATGTCAAATGTTACAAACTTAAACGATAATGTCAGATTTTACAAACTACTATGATAATGTAAAAAATGTTCTATAAATAAACTGCCAACAGATCAGTACTCCCTCTTTGACGCCCACTGCCACTGCGCAAGGTCCTCGACCATTTTCTGCTTATCGCAGACACAGTGGACGTAGATGATGTGCGCGATCTACTAACAAATCTACCATCTCTACCCTTACGCACATCTACCCTATGCATCTCATTCATATCATCAAGCCTCTGACTGAATGGACCGTAATCATCATATGGTCCACTCTGATCGTCCACATCCTCGTCTGCGTCCTCCTCCTCCTCCTCCTCACCATCATCATCTTCATCCTCCTCAGGATGCACTATAAGAATTAGGCCGGATTCTGACGGAAAAAATCCGTCGGAATCATCGAAAATTCCGTTGGAAAAGGCTATTCCGACGGAATTCCGTCGGAACATATCC